ATACCAATCGGCGGGCCAGAGGCGGGCATTGGTGAAGCCCATGACGACACAGTAGGCCCAAAAGTCCTTGAAGAGCTTGTGCAGGCGCTGGCGTGGATTCTTGATTGGTGGCAGGCGGCGCACCAGTACCGCAATAACCGGTATCAGCATGCCCAGATTACCAGCACGTGAGCTAGCCTTCTGGGCACCCGGCGTATTGTCGTAGCTGCGCTCACCATCCAAACCAATTTGCACAAACAGCTCCAGCAGCTTGCCCAGCAGCTCCAACATCTCAGCATCGCCCTGTATATTCGCTGCAATATTTCCCAATGCATTCACCACCGCATCCGACACATGATGGAACTGCTTGCGATGCTCCGGATCAGAGGTGTACGCCAACGATGCCGACTGCACAGTCACGCGGGAGAACATCTTCATGATCTCATCAAAGACATGCGTCTCGCACTGCGAGATGATCATGCAGCCCAGTTGATCCACAATCAAGGCATTCTGCTCCGACGGCACCTTGCAGAAGCGCTGTATAAAGAACTGCAAAATGTTCTGTGTTGTCTTCGAGGTGTCCTTCAGTGCAACAGCCACATGGCCCAGCATGACAATGATGTTCAAGCTAACCAAATTGGATTCGCTGCAAAAGGGAAAGTGTAAACGTTAGGCGGGGAAGGGACATGCGGGGCATAACTTCACTTAAGTACCTCTCATGCTTCTCGGCGGTAAACAAACGATTGGACACATTCGCCACCAAAGCGGGCACACAAAATTGATCCAGCGTATGCGCTGCACGCAGGGCAATCGATAGATTCTCAATGGCTGCATCGCGTAGCGCCTCGAAGGCCACATGACCGCTGCGTCCAGCAGCACCCGGGCCACCAGCCACCGCCGCATGCTTCTGATTATCATTTAGAATGTCCACCACGGCACGCGAGTCCGAATGCTGCACCACAATCTTGAAGGGTGTCAGTTCCTTTTCCTTCTTTTGCAGCGCCAGCGTTTGCATGGCATGGGCGTGCAGCTTGCCCAGTATGGGACTGGGATCGACCAGGAAGTCACGCAAATACGATATCGACGTGCCGGCGATATTCGGAAATTTCTGCGCCAATTTGCCCAATCCCTCCAGGCAGACCATCAGCAGGGGCATGTGATCCATGACGATCTTGTGGCTGAGCACCAAATTCAGCTTCTGCGACAGCCGTCCACACAATTTGTCGGCCTCTGAGTGATTGGAGAGCAAAATCAAATATAAGTCATCGAATTTCGAATGCTGCAAAAGCCAAAATAAACTCAAGGGGAGTAAGGGGTAGGGACTCGGGGCAGGGCATGCAGGGCCAGGGCCAGGGCGAGGGCCAGGCGGCGGCAAGTAACAAAAAATAAACAGCAAAGAAAGCAACAGCAAAAAGAAATAAGTATAGATCAACAAGGGTAATCTCAACTCGAACAATAAATGATTAACAAAAATGTAAAACAACAACAAAAACAGTTTGCATTTCTGCTCCTTGACCTTTTTTCAATAAAAATTGCAAGCCATTCTGCAGGGATGGCACCGTATAGTCGACATCAACTAAAGAAAAAACAAATTTAAAAAAAAAAATCGTACGAGTTGTTGTTTTTTTTGTTGGTGTTTTTGCAAAGGTTCTCCCGGAAACCACCAAAACCAAAACCAAAAATGAAATTAATACAAAACCGAAAAAAAACAACGAAAATTAAGCAAAAACCAAAAATGAAAAGAGAGACAGACAGAGAGAGAGAAATAGAGAGCGAGAAGTAAGGAACAAAAAGTTAACTTTTTTCACCCCCACATTGCTACGAGATTCTTGACAGTTGATAAACAATGCATGTCGTGTGCATGATTATTCACAGCTAATTGTTTCCGTTTTTTCATACAAAAAGACTGCCTAAAGCTGCCTCAAAGCACAAGCTCTTTCTGCATCTATGCAGCCAATTATGTGCTCAGCTAGTGCTCGATTCAAGAATAGAACAAAAAAAAACCAACGTCCATCCACTCTGCTGTTTAGTTAATTGCTGTCTGAAGAGTTTACCTATTGCAATTGTGAGGGGAAAATACTGCTGAATGCTGGAGTTCAAAGTAGGCACAACTCAAAGCTCAAAACATTCTAATTTCATCTATGAGACATTTGCAAATGGAAACCATTCCATGTAGATGCCAACTCTACCAGTTGAATCACACTTCTTTTACTTTCTCTCGCTTCAGCTCTTCTCTTGAGCTCTCTCTTTAGTGTATTAAAATCTGAAATGGGCATAAAAGAGCTGCATAGGCCGCCATTGCCATAGCCATAGCCATAGCTGTAGCTGTAGCTGTAGCTGGAGCCAGACGACGAATGTCTAATTGCTTACCCGTCTCATCGCGTATGGCCCAAACCAGTAGATCCACGCAGGCCGCATTGGCCATGACATTGACTTTGTATTTGTTGACGACTGTGATGCCGTTCTCCTCGCGTCGCTCGCGCTCCTGGTCCTGCTGCTTGTTCTGCAGCTCGGTCTGGCCATTGAGGAAGAGCCGCTTGACAAACTCCTGGACATCCTTGGTGAAGGGCGTGGGCAGGTCCACCTGATGCTGCAGCAGTTCGCGCAGCAGCGTGACCAGCACCAGATTGAGTGTCTCCGAGAAGCTCTTGTAGCAGTAGCCCTTGATCTGGTGCAGCGAGAATATATCGCTGGCCTGCTCGTCCAGATGCTCCAGCGTGTCCTTGGTCAGCAGCTTCTTGGACACCGCGAATATCGTCTGCAGATGCTGGATGGGAAACGGCGGCACTCGGTACAGTGGCCGTGGACCGCCCTTTGTGGGCGATTCACAGACCCGCATATTGGGGAACTGATTGAAGCTGGAGCCGTAGCGCGTGAAGAAGTGCGTCCGCGGATCGTACGGCACCGAGCAGTAGCTGTTCAGCGATGGCTTCTGCTTGCTGTTGCCTGCATTGCTGGCGTTTGTGTAGAAGCCATAGCCCAGGTGTCGCTGCCGGTTATCGTCATACTGCTGATGGTGGTGCTGGTGGGCAGCCAGGCTGCCGGACATCGAGCGGGGTATGATCGGTCGAAACTGATGATTGGCAGTGGCAGCCAGGCGCTCGCTGCTGCTGAAGGAGCCGCCACAGGTGCCGCTGGCACTGCTGCTGGCGGTGCCATCACGTCCGCCTACCCGCTGAATGGGGAGCAGCTCCGGCGGAAAGATGCGACACAGCAGCGGTGGATCATTGCTTGCATAGCGACCCATGGAGCGTGCCAGTCCAAACAGCAGCGGCACCGTCGCCTTGCACAGTACTATCGGTGGCGGGGCCGAGCTGCTGTCCCTGCTCGACTTGACAATGTTGGCCAGGGCGCCCAGTGTCTCCACCTGATTGAGTATGATCTCCTCGCGCGAATCCGGGCACTTGGCGGCAATGTCCGACAGCAAAGTGTTCAGACAGAAGCTGAACTTTTCGGCCGACGGGATGCGCACACCTGTTACAAAACGAAACCCCAATGGACATTAGTCATCGCTCTCTCAGAGAGACTCAGACTCTCTCGGGCTAAGCTAAACCTTACGTTCGATCTTGCTGCTCCTCGCATCGTCGATCCAGACTGCCTTCGGCAGGCACTTGGCCAGCCGCAGCAGATAGGGCACTATCTGTGATTCGTGCTGGCAGCCGCTTTCCAGAAAGTATATGCCAAGCGCAATGACCGCATCCTGGGCTCTGGTGTCCAGGCAAAAGACGCCCGCGGCATTCTCCTGCGGGCAATAGCGAAATAATGTCTGCACCTGTGGGTAATCCATGTCCATAGACAAAGGTCAGTTTTAGTTTCTCTCTCTTTCCTTCTCTCTGCTTCCGTCAATCTGTCGATAATGGCACACCACCCCCACCAACCCCCCTCGACACACACACACACACACACACTCACATACGCATGTCTGTTTTGGTCGCGCTTCAAGGTCAGTGCAAAAAGATGGACAAAAATCGACTTTTCAAGCGAATACCATGGCAATGGGGTGATTGGAGGGGGTGCCGCATCGCTCACTAACCTTCTCCCATGGCGTAGGCTGGATCCCAGCCAGCACTCGAGCCAGGCATAGGACTGCCCGCTGGTACGTGTACTTGTCCGAGGCGGTCATCGTCATCTCTGCTCCAGGTTTCTCCTCCTCTTTGATCCTTTTACGGCTGTTTCCCTTCTCTCTAAGGGGCGTGACACGTTCGTTTTCGTTTAGCAACCGCCCAATGGATTATTTAGTGGCTTAAATAATCTATCTAGGCGTTCGTCATCGTCGTAATTCGGCTTTTTTAATTCAATTTTGTATTTTGATGTGAAGTTTTGTTGTCGGCCAGTGTGACCGTCGTTATCAGCAGATTGATTTACCGCACCGCCAGACCCACAGAGATATACCAAAACATACCCTCTCATTTTCAAAACATACCGTAAGTGTACCGAGGAAAAAAACGAACTTAACCCACTCTACCCCGCGGAAAATAATACTGATTGTAAATTTAAGTCATCTCGAGGATTCTTGTAAGATGAACTGCGCCAAAACTCCTTAATTTATTTTTGTATTTAAGTACCCACTTTTAGACATGGTTGGTTGCCTGTCCATGATCTCAAATCATATTCTTGAGCTAGGACTCTCCTTACTGAACGAACAATTTAATCGGATTGATTGCTTACAAAATAAGTTTCAAACTGAAAAGATCAAAACATAAAATTGTTGCTTACCAACTTGATTTCAGCTATGAGTTTAGCGCTTGCATACCCTTAATCGTTGAACAAATAATTTACTCAATGCTGCTATTTGTAATATTCTAAAAGTGGTAACTTGACTTGCTGCAGTCGAGTGCAATGGTTCAGTTCAGTGTCTTACCAGCTAATTCAAGCTACAAACAGATGAGAGATCAAATGTATTTTTTTGAATTTTTATTTTCACTAATTTTTGCAACATTTCATCTTTAAATATACATATAATAGTTTTTCATATTTTTACAATTGTTTTTGGTTTTTTTTTTATTTATTTTTTGTTTTTGAATATATTTGTATTCCGTTTTGTCGGGTTTTCTTTTGCTTTTTATTTGTAATTCGAACAACTTTAAACTTTTTACATCAATAAATGAGTGTTTTAGCACTTGCTTTTTGTGTTTTTGTAGCTTTTGCTTTTGCTTTTGCTTTCTTATGATTGTTTTTTGTTTATAATTATTTTTCTTCTGTTTGTAGAATATCTAAGAAGGGCTGAAATATGGGGAGAACCAGTCGGGTGGGAGTCCTGAAGCGTGTGGGTGTGTTTGTGTGTGTGTGTGTGTGTGTGTGTGTGTGTGGAAACCATGGATAAATCTGCATTTTATGTACAGCGATTCACGGCCATTGACAGGAGTAGATTGAACCTCGTCATATACGTATGTATTTATATATGTGTTTTTATATGTATATATCTTTTAGCTATACACTTAATAAATATTTCATATTTAGTTACATATTATTATGGTCCAATATATCAATCATCCCCATCCATGGGCAAAATGTTTGTTCTGATATCCCATATCCAATGCCGTTGCCGCTGCCGGTGCATCCACTCGTACTCGTGGCCCCGATTGGATTGATTTATTGCACTGCTGACCGATGTTAGAATTATTGAATGAAACATTTCCATTCCATATGCTATGCACAGATGTTTATTTGAAATGGGGTGTGTGGGGGTGTGGGGGTTGGGTGGGTTAAAACAAACTAAATTTAAAGGTAGCGTGGGGGAACAAGAACAAATGAAACTAAGACACAATTTTGCATAAGCCAGGGGTATGGGTGGGGTTTTTGTGGGAGTGGGACGTAGAAGATTGCACCTTGGTCCTGGATGGTCTAAATAGGGTGAGAAAGGTATTCTCTCTCGTGGGGGAGTTTGCTGCTGCAGCTACATAAATACTTGCGCTTACTCTTCCTGTATAACATTTGCGTTTGCCTTTAGATTTCTATTGTTTTGTGTACATTAAAATGTGTAAATTTACTAGCTTAAGTTGTTTTTGTTTTCGTTTTTGTTGTTGCATTTGATTTCATATTTCGATTTCGATTTCGGTTTCTTGTTTTGCTTGGATATAACATGAAGGTCTTGGTTTTTAGCAATTCTGGTTAACATCAAATAACTGTTGATTATTCGTTTACTATTAATATAATTATTATTATATTCCGTCTCTTTCTTTTATTGTTGTTTTGTGACTTTTATTGTTGTGGTTTTGAGCTGTAGCTTGACTGTTTGTTTGATTGATTGATTGTTAGATTCTGTTCTGTTCTGTTTTCTGAGGCTGTGTTCTGTGTGTTTCTTCTTATTTGATGCATGTAAAGATTTTCTTTGTACATATACACTATATGTACATATGTATATCCAATATGTATATGTATGTACACCCATATAGACACATTTATAACCTTGCAGAGACACATACAGAGAGAGAGAGAGAGAAAGAGAGAGAGTGGCAGAGATATTCTAAATCTTTCGAATCGAATTACATTTCTTGACTGCTGCAAGGAAATAATTAATTACGGCATACATACATATGTATGTACATACATATTAATATTTCGTTCTGCTACCAGTAGCTACAGTTTGCTTTTATATTAATATTTAATATAGTTTTCTTGTTGCATTAACAATTATTCTGAAATGTTTTTTTTTTCTCAATTGCGACTCCGTTTCACTTGCCTGGCTTTTGTTTTAAGCATTGTCAATCTTCATAATGGGTGCGGGATGCATGGGGATGGGCAACTTTAAATTTATATCGCATGCAGTTGGGTTAAGGAAAATGGTGGATATGGGGACATGGGGGGCAAGGGGTATATTTCAGCTTGCTTTACACTCGTGTCCGATTCATCGCTGGCTTAGCTTAGTTATCTTTATCTATCCATGACTCTCGTCATTCTGTATAATCCCACCATTCCGTATCATAGCCCTCGTGCACATGATTGAGCAGTACAGTGCAGCGCTTTTCACAATACCTGCAGCAACAAAATGGGAATAGTATAAACAAAAGAAATGCAAATAAAGTTGGAGAGTTCAATTAATATGTTTACCTGTATTTATCTTGCACTTTCTGCTTAATATCAGCCAAATTTTCAGATGTAATATCACGCTCCAGGTACTCGGACAACGTTTCAGTTGCCGATTCCAGATCCTTTTGATTATCCTCGAATATCATGGATTGATTGTTCTTTTTCAAGTAATACGCAAACACGTACGTGTACATGAGTGTCTGGCGACACTGGCAAAGTATGTCGACAGCCTTTTTCAGAAATTGAACCTGCATACAAAGTAGAAAAAAGATTCATTTAACAAACAAGCACACAGATGAGCAATACACACCTCTATCCAGGACATGTTGTGCTGCTGCATTTCCTCCATCTTTTGCTTCACAGAGGCATACAATTTGTTTTCAAATTTCATTGACTGCATGTGATTCATGTAGCGATTATAGTAATGTAGATACCTGTAAGAAAAGCACCATTGAAAGCCACATAAGGACATGAAGGTGACCGAACCCACCTTGCCAGTGATGAGCGCAGCTTCTCCTGGGCATCGCGTGCCGTTTTGGCCTCGTCCTCGTCATAGCGATTGCAGTTGTACCAGGAGGAGCCATGCGGCTCCCATGAGCCGAGACACACCCAACAGAATTCGTATTTGCAATTCTGATTCTTGCAGACCATGTGATTGCAGCCGCCATCCTTCTCGATGGTCACACTACACTTGGGACACTCTTTGGTATTGGCCGCAATCCAGTTGGACGTCTCCGAGTCATCGTCACACTTCTTGATCCACTTCTTGAGCCAGCGGCACTTGACCGGATCGTGCCAGTTCTCGCCACAGGCGAAGCAGAACACGTGGCCGCACTTGCAATGGACGCGACGTGGCTCCGCATACGGCACCTTTACCGCGTATGTGCAGTCAACGGACGGACACCATCTCAGCAGCTGATTGCACTCCACAAAGCTGTTGGTGATCAGCTGCTGGTATTTGACTTTCACCCGTGCATCGAGCACCAATTTGGTAACGGTCACATCGTCCACTAGGATATCACAGCCGTGCGCCGCGCACGATATGGTCTGGCCCAGACCCTCCGTCATGATCTTCGTTGTCAGATACTCGCGCCAGCATATCAGGCAGAAACGATGTCCGCACTCCAATCCGGTCATGGCCTGCATGTCGAGAGAGAGATAGAGAGAGAGAGAGAGATGTTAGTTAGAGACTTGCTCGTTGTGGGGGGTCTCATTTCCTGTTTGATTCAATTCGTGTCTGCCTGCTCTAGCTCTGACTCTGGCCTATCTTCAGTTTGATAAGCTATCATATCGATTGATTTGATTAAAATATTAACATTTAAAGATTACGTTTAATTATAATATTTATAGGCTAATTTATGTAGCTCCTCCACCAGCCATGCACGATATTTTTCACGACAAAATATGCCACTAAATCTGCTGCCATGTCACAATGAATGTTCAAAGAATCGTCTGCATCGTCTTTACATAACAGAAAGCACTGACACAGCCAGGCACACGAGCAAATGGAATATAAAAACAATTTCAATCAGTGTTTGAACGTCTACTTTGTACGCTAATATCTAATATCTCAACATCTAACACGAAAGAGCTGGGACTTCTCCTATTGGCACTCCTAAATATTCCTTAGCTGTCTGTGAACTTACGTCTGGCGGCAGCAATGAGAAGCATATTTCGCACTCCTCGATCTCCCTTCGTGTCGTCTGCAAAAAGGAATACAATAAAATGATTAGATACAAATGATTGTATTGGAGTTAGGTGAAAGAAGAACTCACCTTTTGGCGTACTGCTTCGGTGGCCTTATTGGGATTTATGACATGTGCGCATTTGAAGAACTCCTCGGGATTATCATCGAAATATTTCTCCAATAACTTTTCTCTATCCCACTTGAAGTGATTCAGCAGAATTCGTGTCTTTGTCGTGGGTAGCTATACCATAAAGCAAAAAATACAAAATCAGACAAAGCAACGGATATACATACGAGTGCGAGTGGTTGGGCAATGGCAATAGCAACAGCAATAGCCACAGAATCAGGTGATGATAATGATGAAGATGATGGGGGAAATGCAGGAGTTGGTCTCATCCCAAATTGGCATCGAAATCAATGCCAAAATTCAATATATTCAATATATATGATCGGTCAAAGCAAAGCAAAGCCAAAGGGCTGTGGCGCAGAATGGGGTTGCCAAATGAATATTGCAGCTGTTTCACGAATTGTAACTGGAGTGCAACATGGATGGATTTCCATTACAGATAACAATAAAAAAAACATCTGCAAATGCAGGTGAAAACTGAATTGCATAGCAAACTTATGACAATCGTCCAACCTTGTGTCTTGGGTGTGCGACACGACGAAATGGTTCACTCCCTCGGACCAAAGAGCAAGATTGACCTTCAATTTTTATAAAGCATGATCTGCAGCAAAGGGTGGGGGTTTGGGGAATCACACACACACACACACACACACACACAGAATCAGAAATGCAATCACACACACACAAACAAAAATGCACATGCATAGTATGGTCGGTCATCTGCAAATGTCGTCGCCTCGTCTCACCTTAAGCAGCAGATTAACATCATCGATTATCTCCCTCTGATGTTGCACAATCTCGTATGTCGTTAGCACCTTGTACTGGTAGTCATCGGGATCCATTTGACGCTCTGCGGAGCTGGGCATATCCACGTCCATGCCGAAATCATCATCACCATCGTCGCCCGACGAGACATTGCCCGAGTCGACATTGTCACAGAAATCGTTGTCGTTATCCGAGTCCATGGCTGCTGTATTTTATGTATGTATGGTTTTTTTTTTCTTTTTTAGTAACGTTTTGTTGTTAATTCAATACGATATTGGTTTTTTAAATTTTAAATTTACTTTTATTTCACTTTCTGGTTCTGTTTACCTTTTGATTATTTATTCTACGCACTTTTTGCCCCGTTCCGTTTTGGATGGGGGTGGTTGTGGTTGTCGTTTCTTTCTTCTTATTGCAGTATTTCTTCTGCTTATTCCAAAATTGTTACACTAGTTGCACTTAAAGACTAAAATATTGCCAGGCTTGTGTGTGTGTGCAGTGCAGTTGTTTCTTTCCCCTTGCTGCTCTCTTTATATACGTATGTATATAACACATCTATCTATATGTGTCGAAATATGTCAACGCATGCTGTGGTCACATTAAATAAGATGTTTTTCTGGTTACACGTTTGACTAATATTGCACTTTTATCGTTCAGTTCTCGTAATAATGGCTTTCTTTTTATTATTAATTTATTCTTATTCGATTCTGTTCCCTCTCTAGGTCACACACCTTGCAACTAAGCGAAATTTGTATAATTTTCTAGTATTTTTTAAAACGCGTTATGGGCTTTATAAGCTGTTTTTCTTCAACGATGTCTTCGTCTGTTAGCTCTGTTGATAATTACATATGTATGTAGATGTAATTCATGTAGAATTCAATTTTGTTGAAATCTTTGTTGACCCTCTTTGTTTAAACTTTATTTTAAACCAATCCAATAGAAGGGAGCACTTAAAATCAGCCAATCTTGCAGGCAATTGATTCATTTTTTTTTGGATAAAATAATGCAGTTGAGAGCCCTAGCCCTAGTTATAATAATCCCAACTATAAAATCCTATTTCGATTATGAACATAAGAGAAGGACCCAACACTGCTTTCTTGTTGTTGTGACTTGATGCCCCATATGTACATATGTTTGTATATATATGATACACAAATTGTTTTGCACACAGATGGTATGATTTTTTCAAGGCAAAAAGCACACACTTGCACTAGCACACGACACACACGTACACGCTTATGTATTCATATTTAGCATATACGCGGACACACACCACACACACACACACGTACGAATAAAGACAGAGAGCTTACGATGACTTATTGTTGACTTTTGACGCACTTGCTACTTTAAAATGATCTAAACGAATGTTGGAGTTATGTCCTGCCCGAAAAAAGTCGTTAAGAACATAGCTGCCGCCTAATGTGACTATCCTAAACTTTCAATTTTATAAATCGATTTAAATACACGAGCATTTTGAAACATTCATTTAAGAAAAACACTGTGTGTTAGGGTTGGGAAAAACATCGATTGCACTATCGATAGTTGAAAAATTATTCGTCCATCGATTGTTTCTGTTCCAAATCGATAGTATTGACTTGCAACGTTCTAGTGATGTGACACAAAATGCTGCTAATTTATTTGAAATTAACTTGGATTCATCCATGTCGTCAGAAATGGTCACACTGAAAACTAGATAGGTGCTGCACAACGCCGTTTTTTGCCCAATAAATTTTAAAAATCCTTGCGCCAACAAAATGGTGTCCCAATATGAATTTAAATGAAAACAATTGATTTATGGCTTAAATTGTAAGTTTGTTTATTTGCTTGTAATAATAATGAAATGTATCATTATGTTGCAGCGTCACTATAGTCGTCTCGTTCTGTGCCATACTCGAGCTCGTTTTGCCATCTCCTTCTAAATGGTGTACACACTAATCTGAAAGAGATCGCCTACATAAGCCCATCCTACTCTAAATAAATTTGCGATAATCAAGAAATTTCGTGTTACTTTCATGAGTCATACGAAATTAATCAAATATCTTGTTGTTTTGGGATTGTTTAAGGCTCGTAAAACGTTACCATTGCAATTTTTTTTTTTTGCAACATTTTACATGCCTTTTTGACTTTTGTTCTGTTTCATTATATTTTTTATTTTTAATTTTCGGCTTGTAAAACGTTGCGTCTCAGGCTTTTTTTCACTTTTCTTTTCACTCTTTTTCATGTTGAACGGAAAGACAGACGAGTCAGATCGTGAAAAACCATTCATATTTCCGAGAGACAAACAATAACTAAATTGATTGAAACTCAGAACAATTTTTTTTTCATTAAGAAACATTATTTTGTAATTCATCTTTGCGCCCACGTTTCATTTATGTTTCTTGTTTCATTTTTGTTTCGCTTTGGAAAACGGTTCAACCATTTCAGTACGCAAAAACAAATTAATTACAACCATTGTCTGTCGAACCGTTCTCTAAAGCTATTTGTATTATAAACCACACTGTCCATTTACTTTTATCCCTTTGATGGCCATCTGAAACACTCTGAAATGGAAGAAAATCGGAGTAAAAAGCGCAGATTAGTAACTTGCAACGTGTCTGAAAGTAAGATTCTAGTCTCGTATCTAGAGGATCTCGGCAGTAAGCCTGCCACTCACTTGCAGCTAGTTTAAGATTGAGGGCAAAACGTGAAAGTGAGAAAAATAATTATTAATAGGTCACCACCACCATTTTGTGCGCGTGTGTTCGCTAGCCGCTAACCTTTCAATGCCAACTGTACCATTACTGTACCATTTGGTTAGGCCCAATCGAACGCCCTCCCCCCACTCTCACCTTACCACCAATGACGCAAAATAAAATTGAAGTACTTTTACACTGTTTTACACCTAATAATGGTGACGGAAGACGTTTTCTTTTTTTTAGTAGACTAGGAACAAAAGAACTTCGGTGTTTTTTAAAACAATTTTTTCAATTTTCCTTTGCTTTGTCTTGCTTTAAAGTATCCAATTAGTTCTAGCATCATTTTCAAGGTATTTAGGAATAGATCACCAGTTTAATTTAATTATTTTAGAGGAAAAATGGGAGAAGATCACTTATGTCGAACTTACTTTGGAAACGAATGATTTTTTTATGCAATAGTGTTGCAAAATATAGTCTGCAATAGTGTTGCACCAAAAATGAACTAGTCACTAGTCACCATGTCTACGAAGTGAGTAAGTTAATCTCATCTTTATTTTTGGTTCATCGCTAGGCTTTTAATTTGGTATGTCGACTTTGGTACTGGTACGACTTTCTAATAAACAATTCGAAGAATGATAACAAGAACTTAGAACAAAAATGAAGAATGAACGAAAAAGAACCAGCGAACTTTATCAGTGAATTGAACAATTACCCAGCACTGGCAAAAAATATGAAAAAAAACAGCAGCGCTGCCATCTGCTTTGATATTCCCAGACTTTAATATTCTCCTAAGGATTACCAGCCAATTAGAACACTCAGCACTGATCAACAATTTTAACCGATAAATAAATCAATTTTCTACAAGAGTTGCTTATTTGAAGAACCCATATTCATTTGGTTATTTGTAATATAAGGTATACTGTAACTACACTTTTGCCAAATATGACTACATATTTATGCAATTGCATTTTGCCTCTCTAGAGCCCTACAGATGCAACAAATGCAAGGTTTGAAGTATGACTGGTTAGAGTGTGGGAACATTCTTCCATCTGTCGTCAAAGCAGAATCTTCAGTCTTTATATCATAATACCTCAAAACAAGTCAGGGGAAGGGGAAATTGTTAATTTAAAGTTTACTTTATTTTGGAATCGATCAGTCGTTTATTTCGTTATCCCCCTCATCCAAGAGCATCAGGGAGCCCTTCTCCTTCCGCTTGCTGGGACGCACCTTTTTCTGCTGCTGCAGTGCGGCCACCTGGGGGGCATGCATCTGCCGACGGTGCTTGTGCATGTTGCCCGAATTCTTGAAGGTGCGCTCACAGAAGGCGCACTCGTACAGATCCTGGCCGGTGTGCGTGGCCGTGTGCTCCTCGAGGCCGCGACTGCTCTTGAACTCCTTCCCGCAGTGTGTGCACTTGTGATACTCCTTCGGATGATGGTACCGAATGTGGGCCGCAAGCTTTGCGCGTGAGTCCTTCACGAGGCCGCACTGACTGCACTTCCACTCGCGCGTGGAAGCCGCATCGCGATGCATGTACATGTGCTTGCGCAGGCTGTTCTCGTCGCTCAGCCATGTCTGGCACTCCTGACACTGCACCTCTGGCAGCTGTGAGCCCTCCCGGTGCACGGTGCGCTTGTGCACCAAGAGATTTTGCTTCGTCTTGAACTTGGAGCCGCAAGAGTCACAGATGAAGGGCACAAAGGTGGGATCGTGAGTGCGCCGCATGTGCAGGCGCAGGTCCACAGCAGTGCGGAATCTGTGGGAGCGATGCATACAGTAGGAAAAGCGGAATAAAACGGCTTCCAGAGCCACTTACGATCTATCGCAGTGCTTGCACTTTTCAGTGCGCTCCTGTTGATGGACACGGGCGTGGATGGTTAGCAGGAATTGCTTTGAAAATCTCTTCGAGCACTTGTCGCATGCGAAGCTCAGCTCGTCCTCGTTGGAATGAAACCGCAGCATGTGCACGTCGTAGCTGATTCTGCTTACCAGCTGCTTTGCACAAATCTTACATCTGCAAGAGATTCGACTGAGAGTGGAGGAGCATGTGTGGCCTGTCTCTTACCCACCTAAAGTAGTCCGGATCGTTGTGCATTCGCAGATGGTCCACATAGAGCGCGCGCTTCTTGTAGCGCCTCTGACAGCACATCACATATCCTGCCGTCTGATGCTCATTCCGATAGTGACGCTTGAGCTCCGCAAAGTTGTGAAATTGCGAATCGTCGCCGCCGCCGCACTGACAGCACTCTAGGTGCCCGTGTGCCGCTATGTAGCCATCCATTTCGCCACTGTTGCTGCCACCAATGTCCAGCTCCGACTCAAGCTGACGCTTCGGTTTCGCCTTCAATGGCTTGGCCTTCTGAGCGGGGCGTGGACGCATGCTGCGGCGTATGGGCGACGGAAGGCGAACCCGGCGCCTGGTCGTCGTCCTGCCACAGCTAGGCGGTGGCTTCGTCTCTACGTCGATCTCATTGTATTCGTTTGTATCGGCTGAGGGGCTCACATCTATCTCTGGCTCGCACAATATCTGTGCTTTGGTGTCCTCGTCGTCGTCCGAGAACGGTTCCTGCTTCAACGGCGGCAGCCCCAGCTGCTTCTTCATCACCATGGCGCAGAACTGATCAAAGTCGGCCAGCTGCTGCCAACACTTGGTGCACAGGCACTTGGACACAGCATCGTTGGGCATCAGCTAATGGACGTACAATCAAAAATGGTCACAATGGTGTCTGGTCTCAGTCAATTTTTGTACTCACAACCAATTGCAGGTGTTTCTCTATCAATTCAGCCAGGTTGGACAGCGATGGCTGCATGGGGCTGTCGTCGCCATCAAATATGGGTACACTGTGCTGGGCATCCTCGAGACAGAGTCGGCATATCATTTCATAAATGT